CATCCGGAGCGATCTGAGCATTTGGGTGGGAAGTGTGGAAGAGTGCAAGAAGCTCACAAGTGTTGTCGCACTGTATCTGCTCCAATTGGACAATACTTTGTGCCTGATCCTCCTCTAGACGCTGAAGAAAATCTTTGGCAGTATTCAGGTTGGCGAGGATGCCCTTTCTTTTGGGCTCAACCGTGGATATTACAAAGTCCTGTTTACCTGTGTGAGTACCATCCCATGCATCTTTAAGTTGATCTTTAAGTTGCAAAGACACTTATTGGACTACTACGGGTGGCTACAAGTACACATGTGTAAAGCCTATGCCAAGCCATCATACAGTGTTCCTCAGGAAAGAGCCGGCTGCCAGCAGGATCAGCCTCATCGGGACTCAAGTGGAGCCACCAATGGGGGGCGATCTTAAACTCACAGCTGCATCGTCAGCTATTTGATCAAACTCTGCCCGATCCTCCTACCTGTCAATATGCAGAGTGTGGCATATGTCCTACAACTCTCCGTGATTGAAGAATGAGTCGTCCAGCGAGCACTCGCCGGTATTGGCGGTAAGGACACAAGAGTATGCCTTAAATAAATCTTCTTCAAGGGCTATGTTGTGAACGGCAGCTCATCTGCTGATCTGAGACATTCAAGCCTGCAATTGTTACTGCATTGGAGTAATACGAGTGTTTAATACTATGTACCACTTCTATAGCTATCCCTTCACAAAACACATGTTCGTTGATGTGCCATTTATTGCCCGGTTTATATTTGTGGTCAATGTTAAGACTCATCTCCTCCAGACGGCTGAAGACAATCCACTGTATCCATTTGGAGTAGATAGGCTCTTGACCCAGACCAGCAAGCAGAATCTTCATGAATATGGTAGAGGTAGAGAGGAGAGAGTGAATTGATCAGGATCACAACCATCTTGTCACCATATAACCGTGACAGGTGGGTCGAACAAGAAGTGAATTACGGTTAGCTTCTTGGTCAGTTGGGATGGCAAGGAGCACTTCGATCCATTCCTATCAGACATTCAAAAACCCCTCACTGTTTCCAGAAGAGATCTGCTTGCCACTACTGTCTTTATAATCGGAACAACTAGAAAGCATGGATGATCGGCAAATTATTCAATGAGTGTGTGTCTGCCAATGCTGGTGCTCGACCAGAGGTGCATTCCACCTCAATGCTTTGAATCTGGTAAGCTCCGCTAGCTACTACATTGCAGGCCGCCCAGTCGAAGACAGAACTCGTTGCGGATGCTACATACTTGCCATACCTGAAGGTTATTGCCTTTGCAAGAAGAAGATATTCAGCAGCGATGGCACACACAGTGAGCATCATTGACTCAATATATTGTAGAACACTATGCTCACACATATTGTAGTCCCCTGCTATCAGTCGAGTGTCAAATGTCTGACATCTCGAGGATCTGCAATGGACATTAACATTAGACATGGGTGTCTATCACAGCTTATAAGCGCATCAGAAAGTATGTTCGGCATCAAAGTGCCAGTGCAATATTCGCAGATACCTTGCCTGTATTCTCCCTCACTGTTCCCTCCAGCCCATTTCATGTGTCTCCTATCTGTTTTGTTCTCATCATTTTATACTCTATATTTCATTTTCTTTAGTCAGTGTTCAGTCAGATCTTTCCAGGGTGCTCAATCTATCTACTGGAAGAATCATTGAGGTTAGCCAGCACTGAGCACTTAATTGCAATATACTCTCTAACTAAAGGCTTGATCTTACTCATTGAGATTGACAATCAATAGGACAGTTCCTGTTATCTGGCGCTCTAAGGCACAAATTTTGCCTGTAAGCAACTCATAGAGCAGAAAGAAAGTGCATTTCCCCACCTTCACCCTCCTACGACAGACCTTACACACAAGGCTTTTTCTCATTCCTACTGGCTCCAACATGCGAGCAGGTTGGTGATATCTGTCTTCATCTCCTAGAGTGCAATGTGGTTACTGGCCCAGGTGTCTGCCTCTCTGTCCTGACTCTACTCTCCAATGACAGCCTCAATGCACTGTTGTAGTTGGCAGTGCGGCATGAGGCAAAGCATGCAAACAGGTGTTTGCTTATAAGTCATGCACTCCTTTGCCCTTTTTTAAGCTAATTATCCTCTAAATTGTCGAAATGCCCAGGAATATTGTCCCAATGCCATTGAGCTCCTTGCAGTTGACAGCTGGGCTCTCCTACCCAGATGAACTTCATAAGTTGACTTCCATTTTTGCACCCATGCTCCGCTAACTCGAACCCGTGATGAATGCAAGCAGGCGCCAGATGTGTTGAAGAGGACAACATACTGTGAAGCCTATGGATCCTTGGGGCAAGCCAGGTGCCCTTCCTTGTGGTCAAGATTGCTTGGAATTCTCTACAAGAAGCTGGGATGCTCAGAGAGCCCAGAGAGCGGCAATTGAATATTGTTGGCACTAGGTAGCCGCCCCTCCTGGCTCACTTTTTCAATGCTGATGAGGACACCATTAGTAGTCTCTCTTCCTTTCTGTCAAAGTGCGCATTTAATTTTTGGAGAAAGAACATCTCTCTGACACTCAGACAGATAACATGGGACTTGCACAAGAGCACAATGCAAGTATTGAATTCAAGACCAGCCTATCGTCTATGGAATGAACATCATGTATAGAGGGCTATATGTACATTTGCGATGCTGAACTATAGAAGCCAATAACTGGCTTAGGTAGATATTTACAGGTTGTGATTGGCAGAGGACATTTGGGAGCGAGAATAGCTTTTTTCTATATCAGGTGCACCAATATCATTGTCTATGCAGAAACATTTGGAGCCTATATCTACAATTTTGTAGCCAGAATCATTATGTCCTCCTCCTGTTGGACAACTTCTCGGGATATGCCATCTCATACAAGCCGACAAACATATAGATCAAATTTTTTGAACCAAACATGACCTCTTTTGTTCAGCCACTCGACGTAGGCACAATTTGCAACTAGAAGGCTTTCTATTGCCTCGAGCAATGTATGCGTGCTCTCAATCGTGACGAGGCCGGTACTAATGACATCTTCAAGATAGACCTTCCGGAAGGAATGCTGCTCACTAAGAAGGCTTGGGAAAAAGTGACTCCAGAGACCATCCGTAACTGCTGCCATCATACAGTGATCTACAGATGCGCAGCACATATTTATTTGTTATTTATAATTTATAATTTCTACAGATTGGAATTTGCATCTGCAAACATGCCTTCTGTGTCTACAGCTATGACCACGATCACACCAGTAACCAACTCCACCCCTCTACCCCTTCACCCTTCCTCTGTCCCAGCATCGTCTTTTGATGACCTCCTCATGCAGGCATGGCACCTCATTTATCAATTCCTGGCAGCTGATTGCTCCTGGCTATTGCCAGAGCTCATGTAATATGTTGAATCCATCCTCAGTGACAAGTACCGGCCCTTGAGATTAAGCTGCACGGTTTTACAACTGCTGCTGTCATGTCATTGTTTACACTCGTCTCTGCCACACCCATGCATCTTGCACTGTTGTGCAAGCAGAATGCAGTCGAGTCTCAGCTTCTCAATGCTCTTGGGACCTTGCACTCATGCAATTGCTTGCATGGGGAGACATTGACAATTGACAAATATCTCGAGAACCCTGAGGAGGCTGAGATTGACCCTTCCAATTTGCCATTTCCTCAGCCTGAGGATAAGACCAGCATTGTTGTTACTGTAAAATGAGCAGTCGCAGCTGGCCTGGCCAGCCAATCTATTGTCCCAGGCATTGACAATGTAGATGGAGACAAGGACAATGATGATGATCCCATACAGGCTTATCCGGGTCTGATGGAGTTGCAGGTGATGTGCAAGATGTCCGAGGGTCAGCATCTCACACACAGATGTGAGTGGGGTGAATGTTCTGAGGCTGTAGGCACAGCTCCGTAAGTTACGAGGGCATTTTCATGGATTACAGTCTGCCTCTGTCTATTAGACAACTCTGACTATGTATTGTACATAGAACTAGTGATATAAAATATATTACAAGATTTTTTGTTGCTAAAAAAAGGAGACCTGGGCACCCTTATGTGACCTTTTACATGACCAACCAAATCCGGCTGTGCATACATCTCATTGTGCTTAAGCGCGACTGGGAACCAGTTGTATACACTATGAGAGATTCTACTGTAATTGATATGGTCTCAGGGTTACAAGTTACTATTCTTTCATACATCAGCCATCACACTGTCTTCCAGTATAAATGTGGACATGAAAGAACCTGCCACTAATGCTGAATGTATCATCATTCTAAAAGAATGAAAATCACATTGCGGCAGATATTTTTCCACACATGTGCAATCTTGCTGGTGTCTGGCTTGTAGCTCGCTTGTAATTGTAGCTATGACCACAGAACTTGATTATTTAGACGCATAGAGATTCTAAAAATATACTGTGTAGAAAAATAGAAGCACATACAGTCAACTCTGTCTTAACCCATAGCTGCGGTAACCCATACTCTGTGATACCCCATAGCGTTTGGCCATCCACGGACATGGTAAACTGTAAGAATCCATAACATTCTTATACCCCATAACACATAGCCCATAGACAGGTTCAGAACCCATAGTTTAATTCCAAAAATATTCAGAAAGCTCCGAAAATACTATAGTGGCATAGAGCAGTGTACCCCACTATGCTTTGTACTATACACAGTGTGTATATGAGCTCTGTGAGCAAATGTGACACATGTGATGGTCTGTGACTCAAACTCACAACTTGCCTCCTACCACCACCACCCACCCTAGCACCTACTTTCTCACTTGCTGATATCAAAGCTGGTCTCTCTGCTCTCAAAAGCAAGACTCAAATCAAGAAGAATGAACCGCTTAACTGTCTAAATTCTAATGAGAAGATCTCAGCTTCAGAAGAGACTTGGCTAGATCAGGAGGCTAACCATGTTGATAAAGAGGCTCTTGTCAATACTCTCGAGACTGCTTCAGACTTTGAACGCACCCTCACACGCCTCAATACTGGAGAGAAGAAGATGGTTGAGGAGCTGGTTAAGGAGGGGAGAGATAGAAAAGGTGCCAGCTTATCAGAGTCAGGAGAGGCTGTAGCTGATAGGCGCAAGTGTGTGTGGTCTATTTATTGATATTTTCATCTTACTCATTCAGACATAGGCCCTACAAAGCGTAAAGCTCCTGAGAAGAAGTCCGAGTCCACTCCCTCTACCCCCTCCATCTTTACTCGCACGAAGAATGCCTCCCTTGAACAGCGCATTGAGATCTTAGACTGGCATCATACCAATGGTAAAAACCAGTCTAAGACTGCAAAGCACTTTGCACCCATCTATCCCAATCTCTGCATCAAACAGCCGTTGATCTCTGCGTGGCTCAAAGACGAGACAAGGTGGCGTCAACGCTGGGCTGAATCAGAGGCCTCTCATAATGTAGATTATGCAAAGCGTGCTAAGCGTGCTAAGCAGGTTGAGCATCCTGAGGTTGATGAGATGCTAGAGCTCTGGGTTGCAAAGGCTATGCGTGATAATGTTCACCTCTCAGGCGAAATTCTTCATTTGAAGTGGATGCGCTTCGCTGATTTGGCCAAAGTGCCTCTTGTTGAGTATTTGAGTCTCAGTGATGGCTGGCTCACATCATTCAAGAAGCACTGCGGCCTTCGCGAGTTTAAGTGTTGTGGAGAAGCAGCTTCTGCAGATCCTGAGACGGTAGAGAAGGGGAAGGAGCGAGTGCGCGAGCTTATCAAGAAGCATGGCTATCATTTGAAGGATATTTAGAACATGGATGAGACTGGTCTCTTCTGGGTATGCGTGAATTAAATTATATTTACTGGCTTTGACTCAATATGTCTTACAGTATGCCTCCTGACCGTGGTCTTATGGCCAAGCAGCTTTCTGGTGTGAAGGGAAGTAAGAGCCGCCTTACATATGCAGTCATTATGAATGCAGATGGCAGCGAGCGTCTTCCTCCTTTTATCATTGGTAAAGCTGCAAAGCCACAGGCATTCTAGAAGAAGACCGGTAAACAACTCGGCTTTCTTTACTGCAACAATGTCAAGGCCTGGATGACTATGTTACTCTACTAGGAGTGGATCTATAACTGGGATGTTGAATTGAGGAAGGAGAATAGGTTTATTCTCCTTCTTCAAGACAGCTTCAGCGGTCATGTCCCTCCTGAGGGTTTCACCAACATCACTGTTGCCAACTTTACTCCCAACCTCACTGTGCACGTTCAACCTGCTAATGCTGGTATCATCCATGCCTTCAAGGCCCACTATCGTCGCCTCTTCATACAATGTGCACTCGACCATTATGACTAGGGCATCACTCTTAGTGAGATCTATGTCATCAATCAGCTTGAGGCCATGCGCCTCGCTGATCTTGCCTGGAAGGCAGTCACTGAGGATATCATTCGCCGCTGCTGGGAGAAGACAGGTATTCTTCCTGATATGTCTACTCCTCCTCCTACATCCAACCCCCTTTCTAAGCTTGAGCAGTCTGTGTCTGACTCGCTTGATGCACTTGACGAATGTGGTGTACTTCAGAAGAACAACTGCGTTGACCTTGAGGAGCTTGTTAACTCAGCTGCTGAGCAGATTGTGGTGGAAGAGACCTCAGAGGAGGAGATCTGCTCGGCTGTTCCTGAACGGCATGCAGAAGGCAATGTCATTGTCATTGACAATGATGAGCCTGAGACACCACTCCCTAGCCGCACAGACACATTAGCTGCTGTTGCTACACTTCAGCAGTATATTTCAGGTGTTGATGGGGACTTTGCGCATAGTATGGAGAAGGTACTGGCTGACTTTGATCGCCAGACTCGCTTAGAGGGACTTAAGGGCCTCAAGGATACCTCTATCACCCAATATTTCAAGTCTGCTTAACATAGATGTTCTCAATAGCTTCGGAAAAAGTCGCATTTAATCGAAAATAAAAATAAAATCATTATGTATATTATTTATGGCCTCTTTCACAACCCATACTCTGTAATAGCCCATACTTTTGGGCGTCCACCATAGGGTATGGGTTAAGTCAGAATTGACTGTACTGGCCGAACTGCCTGCAATTTTTGCCATCGTGCATCAAGTGTTGTTCATGAACCACCATCTTAAATAATACCATACTACACAAGCATTATCTATGAGTGTCCCATCTACTAGTATCAAGTTTTGTTCAGAAAACTCCGTTATTTTGAACTACTCACGCTCTTCTATAAGCAACCATATCAGTACAGCCCGGTGTGGCTACTTATCATTGCGAACCCACATACTACCTTCTGCCAGCACTCTCTATTGTTGTTTGCAAGACTTTTCGTAGCTTATTAGGAACCAGCTGAGTAGTTTGGAATGAAGAGGAGGGCATGGCAATGTGGCTGTTGTCAAGTGCATGTCTCACAAATTCTGCATTCCAACATAGCCCTTGATATCTTATTCAGGCCAAGAATCCTATAAACCATCCTTTCAGATATTAGCTGAACTGAAATTAGACTGCTAACACCCTGTAGGATTTGCACAGCCATGGCACCCATTTCACTGTCATATCTTCTTTCCTTCCCCTCATGCACATCCCCACCATTTCCCTATATACTCTATACATATAATCTATTCATGCATCCTGTTGATTGTGGCAACCATAAACAAAAAGAATGGGCAAGTTGCAGAGTACTAAATGGTGTTCCAGGGAGCACAACTGTCATTTAGTGAGCTGCACCATGTTGAAGCCAGTTTATGAAAGCCCCCTAGCCCTAGGAACCAGCTCAAGAAATCTAGAATTGAAGGCACTATCAGGGGATAAATATAGAGGAAGCAAGAGAAAGGGGTAGGTATCCAGAGATAATGACCAAAGGTGCCGGAATATAGATGGTGCCATCGTACTTGCAGATCTTGAGAACCAAAGTGACAACATTTATAGGTACATATAGCAGTAGAGAAGTAAGCTACAGGGGGTAGACTGGGAGGAAGTAGAAGGAAGGGGTATGCATAGCTCCACAATGTAAGAATAGATCACCGATGCTAATATAGATACATATATGACCTTATGCAATACCCGCACCAATTCATACCTGTACTAGTAGGCTAGCTATCCCTGTACCAATAAACACATAAACTTTCTGAATTACTCCCTGAGACTGCTAGACTACATTTCATGGCTTGCTTGAGGGTTAACCAATGTACCTATACCTACAATGTATATACAATAGCCAGCTCTATAAGAAGGAAGGCTTTAGAGAGAAAGGAAGACCAGTTTGAAAGGAGGGCAGCAGGCTAATAGGGCTTTTGATGACATTAATAGGGCTGATGGTGTAAGTAGGCGACATTCGGTTGCAAAGACTACGAATGAAGTGCGTGGAAGGCACACTCCAATCAGACTTGGGTTAGGGTCTTGGAGTGATGGGAATATATAAAGTGCCCTGGGCATGCCTTCCAAGACTTATGCTTTAACCACCACTTTTACGTTCATACAACTCGTGTAATAACTAGTTCTATCGTGCATTTAAAAACTCATGTAAAAATGCCCTGGCACACCTTTTTCCAAGCACAAACGTATCTTGCAAAAGAACGGGCCGTAGCTTGTCAACTATAGCAGCCCGTAGCCCCGCTCTATTTGATTTGTAACTAGAAAAATTGTAGCTACAATATACAAGTTGAACGGAAAAATTTGAGCCGATAGCAGCCGAGATTTTTTTTGCCGGCCGACATATACCGTGCACGATTGCCGTCACCGATCCTATGCTTGTTCTCCCTTTGCCTTTTGCTCACCGTGACTAGTGTACATATAAACCAGCTTACGCGGACGCACTTGTGGCTTTTTGAATGGTCAGCCACGGTTTGATGGTGGATTGTCACTGCCATTTTGAGCATTTGGCTTGGATTTGCTGGCTACTGGGCCGTCTCGAAGCATCAGTCAAGTGCAAGAAAGATGGTAAAGGTCGAAAGTGGTCCCGGAGTGTGTGGTAGTTCACTGTTGTGGTAGAGAGCAACCGGAATGACGTCGCAGTTGGGTGGACACGGGGCACATGTTGGCCGGCGAAAAAGATCTCGGCTGCCATCGGCTCAAATTTTTCCGTTCAACCTGTATATTGTAGCTACAATTTTTCTAGTTACGAATGAAATAGAGAGGAGCTACGGGCTGCTGTAGTTGACGAGCTATGGCCCGTGTTAGAGATGGCTCTAGGAGGGTGAAGAATCCCTTGTGGCTGCTCAAGAGATGAAGACAAGGTGGTGCATTGATGGAGGCAACCCTAGGTAGTAGGTACAGAGTGAAAAGCTGCAGAACAAGAGCCTGGGAGTGGGGGTTTATAAGGGAAATTAGAATGTAAACAAAGGTAAATAACGGAAAATGCCGGAAAATAATAGGGTCTGATGGGGTGAAACCATGATAGCCCATTCTTTTGCAAGACATATTTGCACACGGAAAAAAGTGCGCCAGTGTTAGGCGCAAGATTAGAGGGTCACAGCCAAGGTCACTGGGTGACAACTGCTAGGACTAGGAGAATGAACCACATAGATTCTGGCCTGCAAGAGCACAAGCACAAGAGGCTTATATACATGCTTGAGTCATAAACATAGACAAATAGAAGAGGTGGGTCGAGGTGGGTCGCAAGGAGTCAATGTGGGTCAGT